TCTCTCTCTCTAAGATAATAATAAATTAAGCCATAATTAACAGTTAATTAATAAGTTACCAGTTCAAAAATACATATTGATGTCATTTATCGTTATTGTTATGTGTATAATCATTGTATATCGTACTCTTGGTTATACACAAATAAATATAGCACCTTTTAATGTTTTATTCAAAAGTAAAGTAACAATTAGCAGGCCAGAGTTAATTAGACAGCTGAAACCTGTACTTGCAGAAGCCTAATGACAATGAAATAACCTTACGCACGTTTATATAATTTTGTTCGTGATCAAAAAATACGATCAGTTATAATTAAATCAACAATTTTCCGCTTCCCTGAGTTCAACCACATTTCAACTATCGGCAGTCTGGTTCCATAAGAAGCAATAAATAGCTTATCTTTAAATGCAACAATTACAGTTTTAGAATCATTACTGTATAATTTACATCTGCTCCTTTTTACTATTCGTTCACCTGTCTTAATCCGGCCGTATGTCTCCCCTCTAAAGCCCCGGCTCTTGACCCGCATATTTAAAATTATAATCGCTGAGCAAAATGAGACGTCAAGCCGTTTAGATGTCTCGGACAAATTTCCAAGGGGACGAGGGTGAAAAGGGGATCCGGCACTGGCGGTTCGATTGGAATGCCAGCCGTATCTTTTGTCAGAATGCCCGATATTATATAATTATCCCAGCTTCACTCGGTTTGGGGGGCGAGAGGCGACTTAAGGGCCTGAGATTGTGGAGGATGGTGCGGAAAAGAAAAATTGGACGCATTAGCCCTTGAAAAATAGATTCCCACAACTGCCGGCGGTCCACCTCTCATCAGACGGCCAAAAACATTTTAAGGATCATTTTTTTCTTCAACTCGAAGGGATAATTCAGGGTTGATAGTGGATACTTTTTGCTCACTTTTGCTACGATTTTGAAATATTTACTAGTGATCCTATAATAAATCAACACTCTTTGTATCTACTCTGTGTAAATAATTTCGTACCATTTTATTTGAAAAACATGAATAACAATGACACAGACATGTACCATTTCAAGGATCTCATAAAACAATTACCATAACAAATTTTCACAGAAAAGAACAGAATTTTGTGGAAAGTTTATAATTTATTTTTATTTATATCTAATATGCAATATTTTCTTTCTTTCCACCCTTTTACCCCTTTTCACCTTTAGAAAAAAAATTTTAACATGTACATATTGCTTTATGTATGAAACATATTTACGAAACATGTAATGCAATTAATCTATCTAAATATGTAGCGATGTTTCTATATCTATCTACATATATTTCTCATTTATGTTTTAGCGGTCAATTGACCAAGTTACTTCTTTCAATTAATTATTCTTTTTTATCTCAACCTAAACATTATCCCTCATGCATTCCATCCCTTATTCCTCATATTCTTTCCAATTTGCTCATTATTTTCCTCCCCTTCCTTCGTCCCTCTTGTTCTACTTATCATTTTTATCGTAAAATTGTCTGAATTCCCTTTTCCTAATTCCCCAAATAAGGAGTCAGAAATGAAGAAAAAAGAAGTGAATACGCTTTTCTGTCTATTTAAATTGGAATTATATCTTCCTTTATATCAACCTTTTGTCTGAATCTATTTATCCCCAATTTATCATCCTTTTTCTTCTATTTTTTCTATTTAACCATTTATTGCCTCATCCCCACATTTTCGTTGTATTTCTACTACTACTACTACTCTCTTTTGCTTTATCTCTCTCCTCTATCTCAATTTTTCTCTATTTATCTCACTCTCACTCTCTATCTTTCTCTCTCTATCTCTCTCCTTCTCCCTCTTCTATTTGTTTCTCGTATATTTCTTTCTCTCCATTCACACCTTCCTTTCTCTCACTTTCTGCTAATTTTTAACACCTTCTATCTCTTTTCTCTTTATCTCTCATCTCTCTCACACTTGCTCTCACTTTCTCACTGTCTCTCTTTATCTCTATCTTCCATCTCACGTTTCCCTCTTTCTCTCTTCCATTTCTCTGCCTGTCTGTCTGTCTCTGTCTCTGTCTGTCTCTAGNCTCTCTCTCTCTCTCTCTCTCTCTCTCTCTCTCTCTCTCTCTCTCTCTCTCTCTCTCTAAGATAATAATAAATTAAGCCATAATTAACAGTTAATTAATAAGTTACCAGTTCAAAAATACATATTGATGTCATTTATCGTTATTGTTATGTGTATAATCATTGTATATCGTACTCTTGGTTATACACAAATAAATATAGCACCTTTTAATGTTTTATTCAAAAGTAAAGTAACAATTAGCAGGCCAGAGTTAATTAGACAGCTGAAACCTGTACTTGCAGAAGCCTAATGACAATGAAATAACCTTACGCACGTTTATATAATTTTGTTCGTGATCAAAAAATACGATCAGTTATAATTAAATCAACAATTTTCCGCTTCCCTGAGTTCAACCACATTTCAACTATCGGCAGTCTGGTTCCATAAGAAGCAATAAATAGCTTATCTTTAAATGCAACAATTACAGTTTTAGAATCATTACTGTATAATTTACATCTGCTCCTTTTTACTATTCGTTCACCTGTCTTAATCCGGCCGTATGTCTCCCCTCTAAAGCCCCGGCTCTTGACCCGCATATTTAAAATTATAATCGCTGAGCAAAATGAGACGTCAAGCCGTTTAGATGTCTCGGACAAATTTCCAAGGGGACGAGGGTGAAAAGGGGATCCGGCACTGGCGGTTCGATTGGAATGCCAGCCGTATCTTTTGTCAGAATGCCCGATATTATATAATTATCCCAGCTTCACTCGGTTTGGGGGGCGAGAGGCGACTTAAGGGCCTGAGATTGTGGAGGATGGTGCGGAAAAGAAAAATTGGACGCATTAGCCCTTGAAAAATAGATTCCCACAACTGCCGGCGGTCCACCTCTCATCAGACGGCCAAAAACATTTTAAGGATCATTTTTTTCTTCAACTCGAAGGGATAATTCAGGGTTGATAGTGGATACTTTTTGCTCACTTTTGCTACGATTTTGAAATATTTACTAGTGATCCTATAATAAATCAACACTCTTTGTATCTACTCTGTGTAAATAATTTCGTACCATTTTATTTGAAAAACATGAATAACAATGACACAGACATGTACCATTTCAAGGATCTCATAAAACAATTACCATAACAAATTTTCACAGAAAAGAACAGAATTTTGTGGAAAGTTTATAATTTATTTTTATTTATATCTAATATGCAATATTTTCTTTCTTTCCACCCTTTTACCCCTTTTCACCTTTAGAAAAAAAATTTTAACATGTACATATTGCTTTATGTATGAAACATATTTACGAAACATGTAATGCAATTAATCTATCTAAATATGTAGCGATGTTTCTATATCTATCTACATATATTTCTCATTTATGTTTTAGCGGTCAATTGACCAAGTTACTTCTTTCAATTAATTATTCTTTTTTATCTCAACCTAAACATTATCCCTCATGCATTCCATCCCTTATTCCTCATATTCTTTCCAATTTGCTCATTATTTTCCTCCCCTTCCTTCGTCCCTCTTGTTCTACTTATCATTTTTATCGTAAAATTGTCTGAATTCCCTTTTCCTAATTCCCCAAATAAGGAGTCAGAAATGAAGAAAAAAGAAGTGAATACGCTTTTCTGTCTATTTAAATTGGAATTATATCTTCCTTTATATCAACCTTTTGTCTGAATCTATTTATCCCCAATTTATCATCCTTTTTCTTCTATTTTTTCTATTTAACCATTTATTGCCTCATCCCCACATTTTCGTTGTATTTCTACTACTACTACTACTCTCTTTTGCTTTATCTCTCTCCTCTATCTCAATTTTTCTCTATTTATCTCACTCTCACTCTCTATCTTTCTCTCTCTATCTCTCTCCTTCTCCCTCTTCTATTTGTTTCTCGTATATTTCTTTCTCTCCATTCACACCTTCCTTTCTCTCACTTTCTGCTAATTTTTAACACCTTCTATCTCTTTTCTCTTTATCTCTCATCTCTCTCACACTTGCTCTCACTTTCTCACTGTCTCTCTTTATCTCTATCTTCCATCTCACTTTTCCCTCTTTCTCTCTTCCATTTCTCTGCCTGTCTGTCTGTCTCTCTCTCTCTTTCTTTCTCTCCCCCCTCTCTCTCTCTCTTTCTCCTTCTCCCTCTTTTCTTTGTTTCTCTCCATTCACACCCCCTTCCTCTCACTATCTTCTCTTACCTCTTTTATCTCTCCTCTCCTCTCTCTCTCTCTCTCCTTTTTCTCTTTTATTTTGCATTATCTCTTTTTCTTCGATGTATCATGTTTCGTTTAAATGTGAGCATATTCACACCGTGCACATAGTATTTCGATTTTCGGTGTTTCGAAGTGTTTAGTACATTGTCAAAACAGTTTGCCTCTTCCAGACGCTTTATTGACATTTATCAAAATCAACGGGGCAAGTCAGGAGGAAGTCCTCCAGGTCGGCGACCCGAAGAATGCTTTGGGGAATGAAGTCACACCGAATTCGGTCAAAAACACGGGTAAGACGGCAAAAAAAGAAAGGGAAACCGGGCTAAGAAAGGAGAGGGCGAGTGAGAGGGCCACGTGGAAAAAAGAGATGGGCGAAACCGGTCCGGGACCACCGCGATTTATTGTTCATAGCTTTTAAATTGGCACAGGTTTAAAACAGGGGAGAAATATGTGCTGTAAGAGGGTTTTACGATCTGAGACCCTCTACCGCTCCGATGGGTTCAGGGGCGTACATGACACCGGCTCGATGAATACTTACTCAATGATAGCACCGATTCCTTGTTGGACCAACAAACAACCAATAATCCTCGATGAAGATTGCAAAGGATTTTGCCCTTCTTGTCTCCTTCCTTATAAACATCCTATCGATTTTAAGAAAAAAGTGATCATTGTAAGACATGTGGTTAAGATGAAAGTACTCAGTGGAAAATGAAATAATGCCTTTATTATAAAAGTAATAAAACAGTAATCTTAAAATTGCACAATACATTGACCTGTGTATCACGAATAATAGCTATTTTCATTTACAGACAGGGCATGTAACGTATTTTATCGAGGCAAAAAATGTTGTCTCGTCTACTGAAAAAAATTAATCTAGCACATGTGAAGCAGATTTTTTTCCTTTTCACGGCGCTAAACTAATTTAACCGCTGTGACAGTTGTCCTATTATTAATCGCGGGGCGTAACGGCATTACCTCCCGACAATATTGTCCTTTAAATATGGGGCTAATGACCGGTAACACCCTTAGACCTTTGAAATATACCCCGTGAACACGATATTGTCAACAGCAATTATTGTTCAGGAACAAACAAACCATTTTACAATTTAACCACGTTTCGTGGGAAGTGCGATGGTGAGAAAATTTGTATTAACTGAAACCAACCCTCTTTTCTCAGATCTTGGCATTGGTTGTGACTTTTTTGCTACTTTAAGTGGAATGAAATGTTTGCAGACTTCAAGTTAATTGTAGGTGTTGCTCTGTGAGTTGGTGAACACGTGTTAAGTGGGACACTTAAGCAGTTCCTCACTGAAGATGGCGCACAGCAGAAACGCGGTTGAGTAACATCCAAAACCCTCAAGTGTAGTAAGTGACCCAGTACCGGTTCAACGTTAGTATACTTTCTTGATATTCAAATTTTTTTCGAGCTATACTATTTATTTTGTCATTAAGAATCTTCCATGATAGTGTTGTAAGTACCGTAGGACTCCTTTCTGCGGAGAAGTATAGCACCGCAGTCTGTCAGCAAATGTCTTTGAATCTTTGCAGAATCTACAGAAACAGATTGGCAGAAAACTTTTTTTTCTCAGATACCTATTTGATCTCCAGTGCCCTGTCAAGAAACCAGTTAAGATTCCAGATTCTCTTGTGTGCGCTCTCTCATACATTTGATATAAAACTTCGTCTTCAGCAAGAAAATTCCTGGATTGATTGTGTTCTATTGCAAAACCTGGAAACCAAAAGAAAGTAACTATGGTGTACATCGCTGCTCTGATGTTTGTTATGTCTTTTTTTTACGTTCCCACACCTTTTAGTTTGGTCTGGAGATTTTGTTTGATTACAGATTTCTTTCTCTTTCTCTCCTTCTCTCTCTACTCACTTTAGCACTCCCTCCTCTCACTCCCTTCCATTTCTTGAGCTATTTCTACTTATTTCTGTCTTATCTCTCTCTCTCTCTCTCTCTCTCTCTCTCTCTCTCTCTCTCTCTCTCTCTCTCTCTCNACACACACACACACACACACACACACACACACACACACACACACACACACACACACACATACACACACACTCTCACTCCCTTACCTTCAAAGGTAAGGAAAAAATCAGAAATTGTGGTCAATTCCGGATAACTTATGGAACAACAGGTTTAACTGGCAGTAAGTGAAATGTTAATACACACAGCGAGAATAGGTAAGCCCTGACTTCAACCCTTCTGGTTAACTTCGTGAGATTGTCTGCCGCGAACTCCTCCACACTCACTTCTTGCAATGTGATGCCATAACTTAAATGAAAGATTAGCTCAGGGAAAGCAAAGTAAACCATTCGATGGAAAAGATTCACCGAGGGAAAGAAACATCGATTTCTAATCCGATTAGGCTGCCATTTTGCTGAAAGTTGAAAATTTAAGAAGAAGAAAAATAAATTTACTCTGGGACTGGTGTCCCCTAAGAATAATTTACATGAACTAAATAAAGGAAGTTCCTTCTATGAAGTTAAAAGTAAAAAAAAAAAAATAGAAATCTTGGCACAATGTATACCAATAAGGCAGGACAGAAGAAAAAAATTACGAGCATATTAAACAAAAATAACAAGTGTTAACGTGAGGTCTCTGCTTGGAGGGAGAGGAGGTAGTTATACAGGTGGGATTTAAAGGAGGAAAATGAGGCAGCATGACGGATAGAAAGGTGAAGGGAGTTCCAGAGTTTAGGGGCTCGGATCAGAAAGGATCTTTCGAAGGTATGGGTTGTATGTTACAGAAGGATAAGATCGATTGGGGATGAGCGGGTCTTACGAGTGAGATGTGAGGAGTTGAATTGGAGGGATTGTATGATGTAAGGAGAACGACGATGTGGATGGACTGGAAAAGAAAGCAACCTAGGAAATACTGTGCACGGAAGGATGGGAAAAGCCAGGAAAGTTGGGAATACAACCCCGACACCAAGTGCCGTACACAAATCTTACACAACAATTCATAATACGCTTAAATCGCGCGTTCTCCCCCTCCGAGGGACCACACATGCCAAACAGCTATAATCGAAGAAGGGAAGTATAAAGGAAGATGCAAGGAGTTTGCGAGTGGAGAAAGGTAAGAGAAGCCAGGACCGACGAAACAGGCCGAGGGAGGCAATGGAATGGCGGGTAATTTGGGAAATGTGAGAATGCCAGGAAAGAGTTTGGTCAAAGACTACTCCTAGGTTTTTAACCGAAGAGCAGAAGGGGTTGGGATGGTTATTTAGCATGAGAGGTGGGATGCTGGGGAGGGAATTGAGGAGTTGCCCGATAAGTACCTTCAATTACCTGGACCGATAAAATTTACCTTTTGGTCGTGAATCTAGGTGAGGCTGGCTATGATGATTTCCGTGTTTAGTTAATAACTCCAACAGATTTGCCTTTCAACACCCTGTATCGCCGTCTTAGATCAAAACCTTCTTCATTCCTAAGGTAGGAACCCACTTCAGCTGTGGCAAGCCGTACTCCAACCGGTTCCTTGAATCTATAAAGGCAGGCCATTGAAGATAAGGTGTCTATTTTTTCTTGAAATAAAGAATATAGTTTGGTAAACACGAGTTGTTATGTAGAATGAAATGCCTGAGGATCTAACGGCAAAACAAAACGAATTATCTGAAGAGAAGTAAGTACTATCAGAATTATTTGATTTTTACGTGTAAAAGTGCAAAATGTTACAAGTTCATCTTTGCTTAACAGATACAACACACAACAGTAAAATCATGTAATAAGAGTAAGATATCACACATCCTTCATTCAGATGATTAACCTTTGAAAGTTCAAAAAAAAGTTACATAGTGGTTAAGTTAAAATGGAAATTTATGTAATAAGACGGGGATGGAAGCCAATTAGAATGTCGTGCGTAGTGAAGGCCCAGTCGTTCGCAGGCCGCCAAGGCCGCAGTCTATTTCGGCCTGGAAGACGGACGCACAGTCATCGGCCGTGTTATCACAATTGCCCGTTTGCCCTGGATGCCCTGTTATTATCCGCCATTCTTCGCAAACTGTGAAATAATTAAACGAGCCTCGGTTTACGGGCCCGGAGGATTTCGCTTTTCCTTTCGCTCCCACCCGTCCCCGCCGCCCAATGGCCACCCGAATCCTTTCAAAATGGAGGCCCCACCGAGGACGGCGGGGCCCTGACGGATTCCGATGTCCTTATATTACCCTCTTCTCGTTTAAATACTTTAAAACACATTTTGTTCCCGGCGTCAATTCACCTTGGAAGCGGTAGAGTACCTTCCCCAAAGGTAAACACCGCTCGGTTCAAATCACAAAAATGTACAGGACTCATTCTGATTAAGTGTGTTTAAATGAAACAAGGAGTCAACAACAATACCTGTTAAGGAGCCGAAGACTTGCCCTTTTGTTTGTGGAATGTTAAGTCATCGATTATGATAACCTGAGGGAGAACAGGGGTTCGAAAATACCAAAGAGCCTGGGGTTCAAAGTTATTTATCTTTAAGCAACCCTTTGCACTTTAAACTTTAACTTTAAAATGTTGTCTGGATGATATTATTGTCAAACGATATCAAAAGATCTAAAGAAACCCATTTTTTCTTTTTTTTCTTTTCATTTATATAACTTTATAATCTATACATAGGAAATATACACGCCCTTTGCCGACGGACTGACTTCTATTATTACAAAAGCAGGTAAGTTTTTGAAAAGACTAAGTAAATCGGAGGAAAGTCATGTGTCTCCAGAAATAAAAAAGTAAATTGCTTACAGTCGTTATTAGTTACTCTTATTATATAGGCAAGAATTTTTAGAAATTTAAAGTGTACAGATTTCACTAATTTTCGTGGTCCGCTCGACCAATTAATATTGTTCAATTAATTAAGGTTTTTTTAGTTGAGATAAAAAAGTCAGTGCCACGAGCGGGATTCGAACCCACGACCCTTGGCTAGATAAGCCGCTGCTCTAGCACTTGAGCTATCGTGTCTTCGATCCACTCGGACACTAACTTCCCATCTCAACCCCACCCTTTGATTTTTCTCTCCTTTTTGCCATTTTTCAAATGTCCTGTATTTACACACTGACTTTTTTATCTCAGCTAAAAACCTTAATTAATTGAAAGATTAATAGCTTAATAGATTGGTCAAGCGGACCACGAAAACTAGTGAATTTAATAAGTTAACATGAAGTATATCTTCACTAAAGCTCTCCGTGGCCATTTCATTTGTCACCGAGAATCAAATAGGTTACACGACATTTGAAAAATGGCAAAAAGGAGGGAAAATTCAAAAGGTGCGGTTGAGATGGGAAGTTAGTGTCTGAGTGAATCGAAGTCACGATAGCTCAAGTGGTAGTGCAGCGGCGTATCTAGCCGAAGATCGTGGGTTCGAATCCCGCTCGTGACACTGACTTTTTATCTCAACTAAAAAACCTTAATTAATTCAAAGATTGCACAGATTGTTAATAGATTTAATAATGTAGGGATTTCAGACAGTATTCAAGCTTTGATCTTATTAGCGATAGGTACAGACTGGTCATGGCGTTATGGTTGAGATCGGAAGAGTAACGAGTTAAGAAGCCAGGATTTTAAGCTGGTCGATGACAGTACCTCACTGAAGATGGCGCAATGCCGAAACGCGTTTGAATAGTCGACAAACACAAAGTGACGGGCCCTACAAGTGACCCAGTGCCGGTTCAGCACTTGTTCCCAACTCGCTGACCAACACCCAGCATCAGCTGGAGGATTCAGTATGGTCAATAAGAGCCATACGGTTTAATTTATGGTCGAAAAAAGCACCAACGTTTTTAATAACATATTTAGAAGAGACAGCAATATTATTAACAGAGTAAGTGAAGATATAAGAAGTTTTAGTTTTGACATTTACGAATAATAAGAAATAGGTGGTTCTCAAAAGACCAGTGGTATAGAGCATTCAAGTCAGATTAAAGAAGTAAGCAATCATCTATAGTTGTAATATTAATAATAAAAGGATGCTTTATTTAAGAATAATTTACTTAGTATAAAGACAGCTATACAAAAGCATATACGGCTTGTATAGTATGGATATCTGGATGATTGTAAAATTTCAAGTCATCAGCAAAGAGAACAAGTGTAGAGCATTTAGAGTATGTGAGGAAGATCGTTGATGAAAATAGTAAATACGAGTGGAAAGAGAGATGAGCACCTTGGGGATCACCAGAGGAAACATTCCTTTAAACTGACAATTGCCTAGTAAAACAATTTGTTCAGGGTTAGTTAAATAAATAAGAGGTCCGAGACAAAAATCGTCCAGCAATCCTGATAGATTTAAGTTTTAATAATAACAGATTGTGGTTGACTCGGACAAACGCCTTAGAAAAATCTATGATCTAGCTAACATCTGACATCTACCTCATTCATTTGTGTTGATAGGGAAAAAACTTGACTAATCAAAGAGTGAATTATAATAATAATAAAGGTATATAATATATGTTTTTTTTGTTAGTTCTGGTCGACGAGAATAGAATAAAATTTAATATAATAATACAGCATAACTAATAAAATATGTTATGCTATTCCCTTGGGCACTGGTTCGATTGTTATTAGCTGTTGGATTTAAAGGTTTTGGTTTTAAGATCTGAGGTTTCTTGTTGGGTTTTAACTGTTAGATAAGATTCTATATTATCATTAAATGCCTGTCGTTGACCGTTTTTACTTCGTTGGTAGCATGTAAATGTACGTTATTGCCCCTGTGCGATAAGCCATATTGTTTACGAACGGGCAGATGTGATAATTCAAAATCCAAAATCTTATTGCAACAGCCGTTTCTGCGATATCGATTTTTTCACACTGAACAGAATTTCGGAGCATTGTGTCACAAGATTAGAAGATAGAAAAGTTATCAGGTGAAAAAATAAAAAGTACCTTGGGTGGTTGTTACTAGTTGGGGTGGATTGGATTCGAGGGTGGGACGGGTATGTGACCACTGCTCCAAGGACGTTTTAGTTTGTGCCACCCCGGCTATCCTGGAAATTTATTAGCGGGTGAACGGTCCCAGGTAGAGATTTATGGAATAAATAAAGGTGGCTTTTATTAAGTGCGGCTTCTCCAAATACCCCGTTTTGACATTAATACCCATAAAAACAAATTGGTTGTTCAGTCACCCAACCTTCTAACCTCAACAAGGAAAGCAAGTTCACAAAAAATAAATAGTGAAGTAAATAAATGCGATATACAAAACATTCCGCGGTTATTTAAACAATGTATTCATTAATCTACACTGTTGTCGGGGCATACAGCCAGGCAATGCAACCCTCACTTTAAGTCCGTACTCGAAGCCCCCCCCCCCTAATTTACGTGGTAGTTACTTTGTCGTAAAACAGGAAAAGCATCATTAGAACAGGGTGCTTCATCAATTTATAAGGGTGTCTAAATTATGATGCCGATGTGCTTCTTTGAAGTCGATTGGAAGTTGACCATGCTTTAACTTAATTCAATAAATAGTACTAGAGCTTGGGGCGTATAAATATATAATAATAATCTTCTCTATTGAACGGTGATGTGAAAGTTGAAGTTAATTAAGTATGCTCAAATTGCCAAATAATACCTAAAAGTATTTCAATTTACAATAAACGTGATATATGTATTTTTGTCATTTGCTCTTGCACACTATTCTCCCCTCTCTCTCTCTCTCTCTCTCTCTCTCTCCTCTCTCTCTCTCTCACTCACTCTCTCTCTCTCTTTCTCTCTCTCTCTCTCTCTCTCTCTCTCTCTCTCTCTCTCTCTCTCTCTTTGTCTATCTATCTATATATCTAGCTACCTACGTATGTCTAACTTTTTATCTATCTATCTAGCTATCTACCTATCTCTAACTTTATATCTAGCTATCTACCTATCTCTAACTATTTATCTAGCTATCTACCTATCTCTAACTTTTTATCTACCTATCTACCTATCTCTAATTTTTTATCTAGCTATCTACCTATCTCTAACTTTTTATCTAGCTATCTACCTATCTCTATCTTTTTATCTGTCTATCTCTCTATCTACTTTTATATATAGCCTTGGTTATCTAATCGACACAGCGGATATACAATTAATAAAATTTACTCTGTAATCATTCCTTTGTTCGCAATTTTTGGTACAATTTACTATTTTCATTTATATTACACTTTACGACTAATCTTAATTGCTATTATTGGAAGCAATACTCCTCATGATGCAGGGAGAAATGCAATTAGAAGAACAAAAAGGCAAAGCGAAAAAAGGTTGGAAAATGACAAACAAACACACTTAATGATATGATATTTATGATTTATTATACTTTGCATTTTATGTAGTTTTACTTTATATACTTTTTATTATGTTCAATCTTGTTTTTAAATTAATAATACATTTCCTCGGTCCTAGACGACCAAAACGATCCAGCGCCAATTCAACAAAGGATTTCTGTTGTTGGATAATTACTTATCATCTTTGTCTGCCTATCCTCGCTGATTTTTGTTGGTTCAGACGCTTTTCGGCATTTCGCCATCTGAGCTAACAAAAAAC